CAAGTCATTTTCAGACAAGTCATCTTTTGTGAAGGCAGAAACAGCTAGCCTAGAAAGCTAGTCAAGATGTGATTAAACATGGAAGAAGCCACAGCCTCATCAAAGCCCCGAAATATGTACAGCAAGCTGGGATGTGTGTGTGTGTGTGTGTGTGTGTGTGTGTGTGTGTGTGTGTGTGGTCTGTGTGGGGCACAGAAAAGGGGAAGAGGGGAAGGAAGTCTGTTGGTGTTGCTCCAACACTGCCCGCCCGGGAGAGGCGTAAGGCCCCTGCCTGGGTGCAGGGGTGTGCTGGGTTACTGGCAGGACTGGCAGCCCCTGGGCTCTGCTCTGCTCCGCTCCCAGGGGCACCAGCAGCATCCTGACTCAGTCTCCAGCTACCCTGGGAGTGGCGGGGGGGGGGGGGGGGGGCGGAGGGGGGGGGGGGGGGGCACCAGAGGGAGCAACTCGGGCAAAGGGCCAGGAATGTGAGCTCTAGAGCCAAAGTAACTGGGTTCTGTTCTGACTCCTACTACCAACGAGCTGGGCCACTTGGGGCAAATATATTCACTCCTTGAGCACTTTGCCTGATTCGTGCAATGCAGGGCAGCACTCTCCCTCCCTCAGAGGGCTGCAGTGAGGCTCACCTGTGGAAAGTGGTAAGGCTGGGCCGTAATTACTAATAGTAGTAACAACAGCATTATTATTGTTACCAACAAGTGAATGTATTTAGCTGTCCCTAGTGAGGTTATTCGCTGAAATCCAACCCCAGAAGCTGCTCTTTCCCAGGTGTGAATTAGCAAACTGAGCTTTTGGATTTGCCACATGGAGGTCTGGACCCTGAGCCTTGGTGACAAAGCAACCGCACCCCCAGGACCTATGGTTAGAACTGTCTCACACACATGTGTAAACCAAATACAGAGCTGTGGCTTTGTGTGAAAGGAAGACTGTGTGTGTGTGGGGGGGGTATATGTAAGTTTTACTAGTATACACCTGATGTAGCAACAAAAAAGTCCTTGTTACAAAGTGTTCTGGGAGTGTGAGCAGGTCACTGGGAGCATATTACCGTTATGAGTAAGAATACTCGGCTGCGTGTCATCGTTTTTGTCCAATCTCAGTGTGACGATGATGTCAGCTGCGTGTTTCCTGGCACAGAGTAAGCACTCAATATACATGTTACACATCTGACAAATGCGGGTTCTGTTTTTGTTTTAAGTTCACAATGCAATATTTAAACAAGACAGAACCTCTCCAAAGGAGAAGGCGGGGGAGAGAATAGTCCAAACTCCAAAATATCAGATTTATGCTGGTACAAAAGAAAAAAATTACATTTATTTTACAAGTAAGTATTTTCCTAAAGTATTATACATAAAGGAAAGTTGAGCTGTCTGTAGGAAAACTATAATTTTAGGAAATTACAGAGTGGTCAACATTGTGCTTAAAACTTTAAAACAGGTGCAAAAAGTAGCACAGTAAGTGAATTTTGCAAGGTATGGACAGCCTTCAAAAGGGTATATGGATATAATGATACAGAAGCCCAATATTAAAGCCTCCAAGTGGTGATGTGCTTTCAGACTTGTTCACACTAATAAGAGAGCTCGAGTAAGAGAGCACGGCTTCGGTCCCAAGAGAAGAACTCCAAGCACCAACAGAAACACGGCCCTTCCGCACGCAGTACGGTCAGCTCTCCATCTCCCAGAGTAATGAATGGGAGCAGAGAACATTTTTAAAAAGTAAAGAATTCCAAAATTAATTCTGAGAGGTGCTCTTATACTTGTGTTTGGAGGTGAGAAACACAGACACCCCTGGAATGTCCGGCAGGAGATTCAAATACAACTCCCACTTCCTTCCCCTCTCCTCCTCAACGAGAGGAGACGCAAGCCTATGCTGTTCACTGGAAAAGCCTAGAATGCAACTGGCTTCCTCAGTCTGGCTCCCACCTCCCGTGGGGACGGGAGTAGGAAAGAAAAACTCTTAAAATGTTTCCCTCATGTGAAAAGCCAAAACATGTGAATACAAGTTTGCAAACAAGATGGAAAAATCAAGAGCTGACATATAAGTATTAGTTTAACTTGTGCTTTTTTCCCCTTTGCCTTGTAGTATTTATACTGCCAAACATGTCTGGGTATTTTGACAACTTTCTAAAATAGGTGGTGTCCTGTTACCCAAATAGAGAAATTTGTGTAAAAGGAGTTTGTTATAATTAGTCCCAAAAGAACAGTTTCAAATAGGCCAGGAAGTGGACATTAAAAACTAAAACCACCACCCCTAAAATGGGATCAAACCCAAAAGGTACCTCAGGACAACCACTTCATGGTTTTGTTTGGGTTTGGGTAGTTTTATTTGGTTTGGTTTGGTTTGGTTTTGTATTATATAACCTGGAAGTGCACATTTTGCTTTTCCAGGAAAGCAACTGGTTTTTATCCAGGGTTTTCTCACATTCTTACTTCAAATCTTAGAAATTACAAGGTAAAAAAATACCTAGATTTGACAGTAAAGCCTTATTTGTTAATGTGCCAAAGAGGTGCAGCCACAAAAGTAATTGAATTGGTTTGTCATTGCTCAGAAGAGTTATGGGCATATCTGAACCTTGAAAATTCTAAAATAAATGTTGATTCAGTAAGAAAGCTGAATTCCATACCGCACTTACCATGCATCTTCGACCTAACAGCTTTTACACCAACTTGCAGTAAGTGGGAATGGAGCTGGGTTTCCATCAAGGACCCCAAAAGCAGCTTCTCCATCCACACAGCCCAACCCTTTGTTCCAAGTGAGCAAACTACAGGTTCATGTTTAAAAGTTTTCATACCTGTCAATGTATAAGTATCAAACCAAAAGACTATATAACATGACTGTGTCTGATGTCTATAATACACATTACAGTCTAAACATTTTCTAAAGTGCCTATAAATATGCTTATACAAATGAACAATATAGTATCAGGTTTACAGAGAAATTCTTTTATATAATATATAACAGATAGGCCTAGAATTTAGTTGTAAATACACATTTTTATACCCTTATCAGTTGTTTTTGGAATGCAAGCATAAAGAAACAATTCTGGTTCAATCATATATGATTTTCAGAGAATTATTAATAGTGCTAGGACACAGAAATTCTTGCTTGTGCTTGTGTAGAAAAGGCTATTTTGAGATCCAGGAGCATCTGGTATTTAGAATCCAATGGAATATCTCCAATTCTATAAAATAGTAGCAAGTGAAGCTTTGTGAGTTTTTAATTATAAAGAGATTGTGCAAATATTTAAAGTGATTATCAACCATTATTAAATCCAAAAATCCCATTAAAGTCGTGGGTAATTTGAATGGCAGTTCAGGAGTTTAAAAAACAGGAACCTAGGCAAAAGTCGAAGATATTACCCATAAAGGCCCCAACCCTGCCCCAGCCAGCTTCAGAAATGTGGCCCTGTGACCACATCTTTCCATGGCTTTGGAGACCTGGTGGTTGACTGCAATCAGTCTAATGAACAGGAATGTGGGCCCCAAATTGAGAACTGAGAGGAGCAGTGTTGAGGAAGAAGACCCTGCATGTGCCCACACGGGGGCTCCAGTGAGTTCACCCACGGGGCAGGCACACACAGTGGCTGGCCACACCGCTAGGCTCCCAGGACTGGGTCTGGATGCCCTCCGCCAGCAGGCGACTCCACCAGGAGCGGCCCTGAGAACCTCGCGCAGACTCCCCTGAGGTCTGTCCCTAAGCCATCTGGGCTGGGGAAGCTGCTCTCCACGCCCACCTCCACCTGCCCTCTCCTGTACCCTGCAGCTCCTCTCACCACCTTCCTGGTCTGTCTTGTTGAGTCTCTACATTTCAGTAAGTGGGAACCGTATGTTGCATTCTCATCTAGCATAGGAATTTTCAACTAACACTGCTTTCAAAGGAATATGCGTGCTCTGCTTTCTAATCCCTAGGGACGTTCTGGGCACCTAAGCCTACCGACGTGTTCTAGCCAGTCACGTGAACGACACATACAGCTAAGAAAGCAGACTCTGCCTAGAGTGACTTGTGAAGGATGCCAAATGAAGCCTTCAGAGAAGAACACAACGGGCCTCTTCTTATTTCTTAAAATACACACTCATGTGACACAGAAGAGATGTGCCAAAATGCGAACGGAGCACAAGATAATGCTCCACGAGCATGCTCATGGTTAGGATAGGAGAAGTATTTCTGTCTCTCCGCCAAGGATAGTTCTGGTTTCATTAGGGCCATATTTTAAACTTCCTGGATTCTTAACTATGCTTTACAGAAAGCAGATCTGAAGAAATGGCAGATAAGCAACTCACACAAAAACACCTTGTATAAATGGAAATTAGGAGAATTCTGAAGAGAGCTAAATAAGAAAGAATTATTTACTATTTTGTGTGTGTGAGAAAAGAGAACATGTACAACAGACTATGGCTATTACTATAGTAAAGTGAATGAATATCACACAAAATATTTTCTCCTGACTTAGCAGTAAACTATTTCAACTGCTTTTGCATTTGCATAAAAAAACCCATGCATCATACTGAATTCTAATCCATTTCTCACCTAAACCATTCTAATGCTTCATACAACCAAATGAAGCAGAATTAATCAAACCTATTAGATTCATTCCTAATCCCTAAAGGGCTGCTGTCTTTAGCATTTCCATGCTAACTAAAACTATTACTGATTTTTTTTTTCTTAAGACGTCAGATGTGGCTGCCTCCTAAGTATAATACCTATATAACTTCCTAAAAGTTTTCCCCGGATTTGAAGAACAATTAAGAAAAACAGGGAAACGTTGAGGAACCCACCCAAGGGGCCAGCTCGAATACTGCAACACGTTCCCCAGCTGCAAGCCTAGCACCTCCCTCCTTCCCCTGGGTTCCCAGAGCGCTCTGGGCACCGTGACCTGCATGCGTTGGCACAGTGCTCCACTGGACCGCAGACCCCTCCCTGCCAGGAGTCAGGTCTCGTTCAGGCTGCAGCCCCACGCCGCAGCCGGCAGAGTGCGAGCACTCGGCTAAAGCCGGACTGAACATGAAACTGAAAGGGTCAGCTCTTGTCAGTGAAGGTCTGGCTCCACCCCAGGTCACACACGGAACGTGGACACTAGCCACAACTGGGGTTGAGTGAGGGTCTCCAGGAGCCTCCAGCGGTAAGCAGAGGCAACACAGGCCCAGGCCCGTGCAGGTGGTGGGAGAAGGGAAAAGGGACAGAATGGCATCTGCCAGGGCACACTCTGTTGCCCTCTCAGGAGCTGATTCCCATTTGAGACCGGCAGGGTGTGGGTGCCCGTGGGCACACCGGAAGGAATGCCAAGAGGGGCGTGGGGGTGTGTGTGTGACGAACCCGCCCCTTCACTGCCTCCTTCACTCAGGGTGGCTCCTCAACCTGATCCATGACCCTCTGTGACCATCACTGCCCCGCTTTCAAAGTTCCCAGTGAAATTAAGGCTGGGTCACAATTCATGACACCAGATGCTACATAGAAAATAAGTCTAGATACAAAAGAAAACCATTTATAAGAAAAGGAATGTCTTAGTTATCAGACTAACATAAGAGTGATGCTAATCAGCAGACCAGTGAGCTGCTACGGCTGTTAGAGGGGCAGAAAACACCAGCTGCAGCGGAGAAAGGATCCATCTGACGGAACTGCAGACGCTCAGTGCGATCAGAGGCGGTGGCTCCTGCCTGGGCTCTCACACGGTGGTTTCTATTGTCTCAATCACTTCCAAATCGGACTGCGAAGGGGAGAGAAGGGTGCACTCATCCGGCTCCCAGCTGCTCTCGGGACTGTAATCTTCCTCGGAACTCAGTTCTGCTCCTTCCTCTGTGTCCTCATCACACGATTCCACGTAGTGAGCCCCGATCGCATTGATCCCGGAGTCCTCAGAACTTGAGGGAGAAGAGCAGTGATCTATTTTAGGGGTACTGCTCTCTCTTGAAATTAAGGCATCGTGTGCAGAGACCTCCTCGGGACTCATTTTGTGGGAATGCGGCGCTGGCTGCTTCTGCACATAACACATCTTCCCATTAATGCATTTAACCTGATAGTTGTCGATAAAGAGGTCTGAGATCATACAGTACCTTGGTGAATCAGGGGGGAGGGGCGGCTGGAAGACGGATGCAAATTTCAGAAAGTGTTCAGTGAGTGACACCGAGATCTGAATGGTGTTTGTGGGTTCCCGAGGCTTCGCAGGAATCTCCGTGCTCGGAAGCTGCTCCACAGGAGTCATGGGCTGATACACGTATTTGCCTGCGGGGAACACCAAAAAGGTGGTTGAAATCAAAGAGTATGACACAAGCTACGTTAATGTAGCCATAATGGTTTCTTTCTGAGGATCAGATATTTAAAAAAATATTTCACCATCAAAAGAAACCAGTAACAAAATCATTCAACATTGTTATAATCAATGAAAAATACATAATTTTTCATTGATTACGGTACATAATAACATCATGGTATTTTCATCTAAGAAACTTAATACTCTACAAATTTTAACTTATATTTATGTCTTTCTAATACCTCTGAGGTGGATATATACTAAAATCCTTACTTTATAGACAATTTTAAATCTTTTACCCCTTGCACTATAACACCGAATGCTCACGATATAGTACAGTAAAAACATGCTGTAAAGGGGTGCCTGGGTGGCTTAGTCATTAAGCATCTGTCTTCAGCTTGGAGCCCTGGGATCGAGACCCCATCAGACTCCCTGCTTGTTGGGAAGCCTGATTTTTCCTCTCCCACTCCCCGTGCTTGTGTTCCGTCTCTCTCTGTCAAATAAATAAATAAAATCTAAACAAAACAGAACAAAATGCTGTAAAGTTGTAGACTATAAAATCCTAATTCCATTCTATCTTTAATAATTATTAATTTATTATTAAATACTTTAATTTAATATTAAATATTTAATATTAAATATTAAATACAATTATTAATACATGTGGTAATATATATATTTTAAAACTAGAGGAATATATACCAATTTATTATCAAGATTACAGAAGACTTACACATTTTAGGTTTCTATGTTTTTGTGAGAATACATATACACACACAGATGTATGTAATGGCCTGGAGGGTTGTCCTAGCCACCAGTAATGGCTGGGGTAAGATAATGAGGCATGGAATGATCTCTTTCAAGACCCAGTTCATCCGTGGCCCAGTTAGAAGAAGTTCTCCCTGGCCCCAACTCCACTGGCACTAAGCAACCCAAGCCAAGTAGAAGCAAGGGTATAGGTGATGTAGGGGGTGACCTACTGGGCATTTCCAGGAAACCAAGAAGCTTATCTACAAACTTTCTGCTCTGAGCAGTGTGTCACATAGCTCACTGTGGAAGTGAGACCTAAACAGATCTGGTCCTAATGTGTCTCTCTCTTTGTTCTGACTTCACTCTGCAAAGCCTCTCAGGTACCAAGTGCTAAGGAAATTGAGACAGAGATGAGTCTGTATATCTAAAATGATTTCAAAATAGAAATCTGGGTGTTAAGAAAAACAGAACAAAACCCTGAAAAACTGAGAGAAAACAGCCACAATGGCAGACACCATTTTGGTTTTTCCTAATATAGTTGATTATCAATCAGTTCATACTGTACCTTCTGCATATTTCTGATGGCATGTTTTAACTAGCATTATTGCCATTTTAGACCACCTAAGTTTCAACAGCATCCCTGACCTCTAGTAGCACCTCCTCCTCAGGCATGACAATCAAAACCGTCACCAGACATTATCACAGAGTCCCGGGGGGTCAGAATCGCCCCAGCTGAGAACTACTGATCTCTGGTATCCTCATGAGTGTCTCTTTGCAAGCTACTCGCTCACCGCGCATGACACCTGCTCCTGTTTATTTCTTGGTCAGACTGGAAATTCTAGGACAGAAATGACATTTGTAAGGAAAACTACTTTAGACTTTTTAACAATTTATTTAGGCCATGGGAGAACAGCAATTTCAGATCAGAAATGTGAGCAGCAAACTAGGCCACAAATAGTGCAACATCAGTAATCTATTAAGATCGATTAGCCTGCCTATATTTTTTACTTCCGTTTCTAGACTACTGTACAAAAATGTACAAAAATGTAGGCTTAGTTGTTATAATTTCATTGTAACTAAATTACTCTAAAATATATTCAGCTTCATTCTGGAGTAACACATGGGAAAGGTACATTTAAAACTGTTAAGCCTTTGGATACCTAGGTCTGCTTTGAAGCCTGGACATATATATCATGCAAACCTTACACCATCTGATAAAAATACAAGTGAGAAGAACCCATAACACCTGCCTGGGGAACTATGTTTCAAATACGACAGGTATCTTTATTTCTTCGTTATCTATGAAGACAGTATGGTATTACTACTTATCAGGGAAAGTTCAAATCAGTAAGACTAATTGATAATCTGGTACAGTAGGACCTCCACATCCAAGCATCGTGGCAATGTCAGCTGAAGGGGTAAAGACAGCAGAACTTCAAGCCTCCCCTCCCATCCTCCAGCCTCAAGACCAGAGAAAGACAAGTCTGGCAAGGGCAGAAAAGAAACTACTCGCAGAACCTAGGGGACTGTTGCCCTTACGTTCACAAAACGGTGAATAGGACATCTGGAATGGAGGTTGGTCTCTTCTGTTCCTGGCTGGTGGACTGGGGGTTACTGAGTTCGGGAGGCTGTGAATGGCAGGCACTCAAGAAATGCCTGATGTAGGGTGCTAAGTTCATTTGGGCCCAAGTGACCTCTGGTTTAATTACCCACTGGTCGCACTCTAGAAGTTCCTAGAAATTCGTCCTCAGACTCACAGGGTTCAGGACTTTATTTAGTCCAAAGGAGGGACTCCATGAAGCCTGACTTTGGGACTTCTGTAACCACCCTGCCTTCCCCCCTCCTTCCGATCCCTCCCAGCCCCCGCACTGAGTCCCAGCCCTACCCTCGTCTTTCTTTTCCTCCTTTGTGCTTCTTTAAAAATCCTTTTCTCTTTCTCTTTGTCACAGTTCTTCTACCTCTTTCTCTAGTCCCGCCTTCTCCAAAGCTCTGTTTTTATTCCTTGAAGTGTGGTAAAAGAAAGAGAAATGCAGCTGGGAGACCAAGATGTGCACAATACTGAATTCCAGATTCCATCTGCTTCTACGTGTTAAATCTACTAAAGGTGCTTTACTCCAAGCTAGAGTGCCAGCCCATTATCTGGTGATATGGGGATACGGATGCGAAGAGGAAGGTAAGGAAGAAATTAATAGTAAAGACGGCCAGATGAGAAACTAAGTTTAGTAAACATCTTTCAAACATCAACTAGTTATGGGGCACCTGGGTGGCTCAGTGGGTTAAAGCCTCTGCCTTCAGCTCAGGTCATGATCCTGGGGTCCTGGGATCAAGCCCTGCTTCGGGCTCTCTGCTCAGCAGGGAGCCTGCTTCCTCCTTTCTCTCTGCTTGTCTCTCTGCCTACTTGTGATCTCTGTCTGTCAAATAAATAAAATCTTAAAAAAAAAATCAACTAGTTATAATACTGTATTGTTTGATTTTCTTATAGCACATACTTAACAGGAGAAAACAAACTTGTATCAAGGATTTAGTTTTGTAAAGAGTCCAGAAGGGTTTGTACTTGCCTCCACTCCCCAGTAACTTCTGCCCTGTGGTATATTACACTGTGAGTCTATGCTTGTAATGGTAGCCTTGAAGCATCACAAGATGCTGAATTATCAGAGAAATTCAATTATGTCTGCTGTAATGTACTTACTAAGGGAATAAAACAAACTAACACACCGCAATAGCAAGGACTGAAACAAAAGGGGTTTCCTGGCCACTTAGCCCCAAAATTCAATAATCACTATACTCTGTTTTCCGAACAGTCTTTTTAATTAAGGGTTTACTATATTATTTAAAGAAATAAGCAGATGATAACTTTTAAAACTTGAATCTCTAAAAGGAAAAGATATTCAGAGGGAGACAGGGCTTGCAGAATACAAAGTAGAGAGAGTAAAAGAAAAAACGAGATATAATCCAGCAATTCCACTTCTCGGTATATACCCCAAAATAGGAAAGCAAGGTCTGAAAGAGTAGCTGCATAACCATGTTCATCGCAAGCGTCATTCACATTAGCCAAAAGGTGAAAGCAACCCACTGCCTATTGGCAGATCAATGGAAAAACAAGGCGTGGAATATACAATGACTATTATCCAGCCTTACAGAGGAAGGAAATCCATGCTACACCATGCATGAACCTTGAAGACATTATGCTAAGTGAAGTAAGCCAGTCACAAAAAGACAAATACTGTATGAGATCACCTACATGAGCCACTTAGATTAGTCAGATTCATATAGGAAGAAAACAGAGTAGTGACTACCCGGGGCCAGTAGATAAGACAGAACAGGGAGCTATTTAATGGGTACCGAGTTCCAGTTTTGCAGGATAGAGAGAGTCCTGGAGATGGATGGTGGTGATGTTTGTACGACAACATGAACATAGTTGATACCATTGAACTATACACTTGAAAGTAGTTATGATGGTAAATTTTGTGTGTATTCTACCACAATTTTTAATACTAAAAAAATCTGTATAATTCACTACATTAACAGACGGGAAGGGAAACTCCATATGATTCAGAATATACCAAAAAATTCTTACAACTCAGTAACAGAAAATAAGCAGCCCAATTTTAAAAAGGACGAAGGCTGAGTTGCCTGGGTGGCTCAGTTGGTTGGGCCTCTCTTGATTTCAGCTCAGGTTCATGACCTTGGGGTCATGAGGTCATGATTTTGGGGTGGTGAGATCGATCCCCACATTGGGTTTCCCAATCAGCAGGGAATCTGTTTGGGATTCTCTCTCTCCCTCCCCCTACTCTCATGCTCTCGCGCAGCTCTCTCTGGGGTAAATAAATCTTTAAAAAAAGAGAAAAAAAAAAGAGTGAGGCTATACAAGGGCAATGCCAAGAATCCCTGTAGTGATGGAAATGTTCTGTAATGTGACTACATCACTATCAGTATCTTGGGTTATGATAATGAACTATAGTTTTGCAACTATAGTTGTCACTGGAAAGCATGTAAAGGATACATGGAATCTCTGTGTTTTTCATAAAACTACATGTGAATCTATAATTATTTTCAAAATAAAAAATATAACTTAAAAATCCCCATAGAAGTGATGTACCTTTTTCAATGCATTTGATCAGTAGGTAAAATGCTGCTGATCTCATTACAGATGATGGTAACTTTGAGACTGTACAAATATCCCATTTGTCCCCATACTGTCACCTACTAACTTTAGCATGTC